GCTGTGGAATGGCCGGGAACGGCGGGGCACGAAGGTGGTTACCGCCTTCGCCATCGTCGCACGAAGGCGAATGCCCTAACCACTCGCCCGACGTGGGGAGAGAGGAGGGAGAGAAAACCTTTTTTTTTCAACAGCATCAAAGCCTTTCTTATTTCTTTATTTCCGCAGTCACACATTACGGAGAAGCTAATGTGATTGTAATAAGGGGCGTAGCCAGGATTTTGTCGTGGGTAGATTCGTTTGAAAAAAAATGCATACGATAAAATAATTTTTTAGCGTTTTAAACAATTTATGATATAATTTGTATTTACAAAAATTTAGTAAATTAAATATATGTCGAAACTATCAAGAATACCACACTCTAGATGTATCAAATATCAATCTATTATCAATGATTTAGTTAGATATTTGCTTTTGAATGGTGTTCTTTGTAAAAAACGTTTAGTGTCAATAACTCGAGTTGTTGTGAAAGACTTAATAATGGAATTATACTATTAAGTATTTACTAACACTTCCCCACTAAAGAAAACCAACTTATACGTGCTTAAATTTATTGCAAATCCAAGGGGTCGTTTGGAAGTTGTGATTTCAAATGGTGTATTGATCTAATTCATGTATTTGTGAGATTAAGTCGTTTTTTTGGTTTATATAGAACTAGAATACATGCATTTACTTTTTGGAGGCCCCACCACAATCACTCAATATTGAGGGATTTACAATCTCTACTTTTTGTTGAGATTCTTCACAATGACTCAATACTAACTTTTTTACCTTTGGAACAAAAACACAATCTAAACCTCCAAACAAGATATTTACCTAATACATAAATTGATTCAATCCATCAAATGATAATACACTAATTGTCCCAATACATTAATTTGAAGAATCACAACTTCCAAACAACCTCCAAATATCAACTTCCAGAAAGTCTTCGATCTGACTCCTAAAGAGAGAGAAGAAGAAGAAAGAGGAAAGAGAGGAGGGAAAAAGAAGGTAGAGAGAGGATGGATGGGTCATGAAGGTTAGATAAGTTTTATTTTGTGGGAAATAAATTTTTAATAAGTACATGTAAGACAAATTTTTAATTACTACCTTATTTGTATATATACATAGAAAACGTATAAAATGGCTCAAACTGGACGGACCCCTATCAGACCAATAAACCTCAAACTCCTTGGTTGACCGGCTCAATGACTTAAACCGGTTTGATAGCCTTTGCCCTTTGTAGTCTTGTAGATGCAAAGATAGAATATGAAACTTAGTATATCATTATTCAAGACATGTTATTGTTAGTACATTTTCCCCGATCTGTATCCTGCGACTACGACCCTTATTATAGTCCTAACTGCAGGGAAAGTACTGAAAAGCATGGATATTCATCCATCACTTTTTTCACACAACATATCTATGCCCATAGGCTGCAAGGCTCCATTCTTTTCCAGTGGGGCACTAAGAACCATCTCTCATTTTCATGCACACCTTCTCCCTTATCGTTGCATAGCTTAAATTGGGTTGTGCCTCTAGAATCCTGATAAGAGTTCGGTTGTGGATGCCCTGGCGCTTCCTAACATTGACCTGCAAAGAAATAGGGAAAGATCTAAGAAGTTGCTTCGTGTAGAGGAGAGAGATGCTTTCCTTCAAACATTCTATTACAAGAAAATTTCAACTTACCAGTTTCACAATTTGGTCATGAATAGAGTCTCCCCAATCATAAAAGTGATCATAAAACATAGTTGGTATCCCTCGATGTGTTAGTATGTATGCATAGCCCTGTGGAATGCAACCAGAGCAGAGATCAAAGCCAATGGAAAGGTACATCCTTTTCCTATACTATATATGTTGGTGCTATGATTTCAATACCTCCATGATATAATGTACAGGGAAAGGCAAATGAGCTTGCAGGCTGCAGCAGGGGGAAACATGACGATTAGAAAGAATGTTGGTGGAAAGTTTTGAATGCACAGGACGCATAAATGCAGAAACTATAGACTATTCAACACTTGTGTTGAGTTTGTGTCATGGTTATCAAGCAACGTGACAGCCCTCGATGGCCACCGTCCTATTACACCTGGAGGCTTCCCTTGAGAGTTTCGAAGGTGCCAATGTTGACCCTTAACTGCTTCCTGTTTAGGAAATTCTTTCATCAATAGTGGAAATAAAGGATCACAGTTTGGAAGGAGGATCGTTTGCATTAAACTGTTGGATACCTCTATCATTTGGCACTAGTCATATTCCATACTAGTTTCTTATGGCTTCATATATCTTGCATAACAAAAACATATGAGAATACCTGAAGGATTCCTTTGGTAGTTAGTGGTGGGAAACAGTGCAATTGCGGTTAACTGCACCGCAAAGTGTCCACATTAACCAACCGCGTCCGCACCTAGGACGGTTAGCGGTTAACCGCTAATCGCAAAATGTGGTTAACGAGTGCACCGCGGTTACTGGCGTCACCAACCGATTTAATCGATGTATGGTGATTTACTGAGGTTTGACCGTCTGAGCCTCTGAGGAAGTCGAGCCTACCACTGCGTGCGCTGCGGCGATGAGCGTAGACCTCCAAACTCGAATCGAGCAGGTCAGATTTGCTCGGCGACAAGGGACGACGTTTTAGTCTCTAGGACGGTTGTGTCGTCGCGGTTGGAGACTCTCAACTCTCAAGACGGCTCTCGAGGAGATGGACGAGTCGCTCTAGGGATTTCCATACGATGACACTCTGGGTCTGGAACGGTAGCGACATTGCAGTAGGGAACTAGGGATTTTGATTTGGGAAAGCTAAAGAGGAAAGAAAGACGTCGCAGAATCCGAGTGGGGGAACTAGGAATGCCAGAAGGGGCTGGGTCGAGTGTGCCCTGTGACGTGTGGGCAATGGGCTACTGTGCCTGGGGTGGGGTTTGTTTGTTGGGCTGGTCTGAAAATGATCTTAGGCTGGGTTGTGGTTAACACTGCAGTTAGGTGTATTTGCGGTTTCGCTTGTGGTTAAACCACAAACCGCAAAACACTCAATATCTCCAACCGCGACCGCAAAATAGTCTATTTTTGCGGTTTGCGGTTAACCACTAACCACGCGGTTTCGATATGGTTAGCGGTTTAACCGCAAAACTATAACCAAATTCCCATCCCTATTGGTAGTGAAGTCAAATGCAGCTGAGAACTGGCACGTGCCATCAAATCCAGTGAATAATCCTTTGCCTGTGGCTATCTGAAGGGGGAATGTCCAGGAAAACAACCAATTAGGGAATTATGAAGCGCTCCGAGTATCAAATGTAGGATGAGCATAAAAATCACAAGTATACCTTGGTTGTACTCCAAGTAACTTCAATTATAGTTGCAAGAATCCCAATACTCCCCAACAACAAATAGTGGCTTGGCTCCTTCAATGTACTTTTTCACATACTTAGCTGAATAGCTAAACTTGCAACATTTTAGAATGCATTAAGTATCACTAGCCATAACATTGAATTAAGGTCTCTTACACAACTCAAAAGGAGATCATAAATACCTACCCTCTTGCGAAATCGAAACGAAAATATTCAAATCCACCATTGTTACACAGCCAATGCAGCCAACCTATAATGTATTTCCTCACAAAGTGTTCTGAGTGGTCTATGTTTGGAACGCCATGGAAATTGTCGCCGGTGCTTTGATTTCCCTGGAGGAAGAAGTCAATGAAACAACAAAAACACTCATACCAGCTTGACTGAAAGGTTTGGAACTAAAGGCAAAATGGATTCTTATGGTTGAGATATAGTCAGAAATGAGAATGCTAACATGAATTTAGTAGGATGAGTTTGGTGCTTTAGTTGACTCAATAACGGGTTCAATGCCAAATATGATGCATATAGCCGAGTTTGGTGCATTGGTACTCAATTTTTTATGCACATCACATGGTAAACAAACCGCAAACTACAGGCTGATGAAAATAAATTACCAATCCACCAGTACAGCTAGTAACAACCCGTTCATCCCATGACAATGTAATCCCATCATGGCGGTTGTACATCCCACCATGCCCTCTAGTAGTCCCAACTCGATGATTTACAACTATATCGGCCATTGGTTTCACTCTATGCTGCTTCATCTTTGTGAAGCAAAGCTTTCAATAGGTGCTCAGAACCATATGACGAGCATGGTAAAGGAAACCGTACCGGACATCATACCGGATTCCTTTCTGGTAGGGTATTTTGTGGTACGACCGTGATTCAACCGTTTCGTACCGGTAAATACCGTTTTTGTAATAATAAAATATATTTTTTGTCAAAAAACCGTGCCGCCAAAATTAGGGTATCGTCTTGGAGTAATACCGGATGTATCGGAATATATCGAATAATAAATGAATAAATACAAGTAGTTAGAACTTATCCGATACTAAAAAAACTAATAAAAAATTAAAAATATTGAAAATTAATAAACCTTCCTCTTTTCACTTATCCTCTTCCTCTCCGTCTCTGTTCAATAACATCGTCGACTAGAGATTGATAGTGGCGTATCGAAGATGGGAGGAGATGGCAATTTTCCACCCGAATCTACCGTCTCCAAGCCTTCGCCGTCCAATCCCCGCTAACGATGATGAATCCCTCCAGATTTTGCTTGCCATGTCGTCGCATCGAGGAAGAGAAAATATGGCTGCCAACCCCGGTGATTCGCGGAAGGGAGTTGGAGGGTCAATTAAACCAAAAAAGCACTGATCATTGTGAAATTCAGCCTGCATGCTTGTTTTATTTTGATCTTCGCGATGTTCTAAATTCTGATTTCTTTTCTATTGGGTTTTCTGGCAACGCTGGTCGGCGGTGGAGATGGAGCAGTGGCCGCGGTGCGGAGGTCCCAACTAGTCAACGATATTTCATTGTCAAAAGCCTACAGTCGGTAGGATAAAAATCAGCCGGTATTTCGCGGCAGACTTGTTCGACCTAAACAACCGGTCGATACGATATTTAAGCCACTAAACACATATCGTTTCGTTTCTGGTTTTTCCAGTCGAACCGCCCGGTACGATTCGATTTCCTGTTCCATGATGACGAGTTGAGTGAGTAAAGATTACGTGGAAGGTAACCTATTCAGCACAAAGGTCAGAACGTTAATAATCGAGCAGGAAATTTTTCACAAGCAACAAGCCTTGCTAATTCCTTCAAACCTTCGTATGCAAAAGAATTTGATGGTGGAGGCAACCAAGTTGAAGTAAACTCGGATTTCGCCATATCAGGTACTTTCTTCTCCAGATTTCTCCACCAGTCATGCTTGTGAGACTCCCAATTAAAAGCCTGTTTAATGATAGTTAAACTATCATTCAAAGCCGGAGACACATAGCTTTGCAATTATAATATTGATACATAGTATATCCAACAACAACAAAATTGGGCGTTCTTAGACAAACTTCAAAAGGAACCTTACATGGAAAAGAACTTCTCTTCCATAACGAATCACTGCCCCTGAACACCATCAAAATTCATCATCATGTACAACCAACCATCACAAACTCAGGTGACATATAGAAACTCAATCATTATTAACTACAATAGCTTACCAATGTCAGCTTTCTGATTACTTCCCTCAATTGACTTTCTCAACGAAAGAAAAAATGGAAATATAAAAAAATACTAAAATCGGGTTCAAAGTCGCTTTGACCTAGTCTAATTATGTTGGTTATCCATGAGTTTGAGTTCAATTGTCATGTTTAACCAACAAAAAAAGAGAGATAAGAAAACACTATAAAATATGAAACTCGGTCCCGATACAAAATTCAGCAACACAAAGCCAATTTGGTATGGATTTTCAGTAGCGGTCTCGGGACACTGTGGATGGATAGAAATTAGGATTCCACCAAGAGGTTTTGAGAAGGGTTGTGCATTATTGGGCGAATGCGAGAATTGTGCATAAAAGATATGATATGGATTTTCGGTAGCAGTCGTGGAAAACGATGGAAGATGACAACTTATGATTTTGTCGATAATTTTTCGAGATGGGTTGCGAATTGGTAGGCCAGGCGATGATTTGGGAAAAAGATCATAGACGAAATCCTAATGGATAATTGTTGCAACCGAGAAAGCAATGATTTACCATGAACAATAGATGTAAACCTAGCGAACAATAGCTAAACACAAAGTTTGTAGAATGGAGAGTGGGGTAAACGAAGCAACTTGGAACTTCCCCACTTGCAAGGAGGCGTGTGAGAGCTACTAATGAATAGTAACTTACAACATTGACTTTTATATATGAATATATAAATATGCAATTTAGAGATGATTAGGCATGTTCGGGGTCATTGTCAATGGGTCGAAATTATTAATATTCTTAATTCATGAGACCTCTGCAATTTTAACTACAAATACTCAATTTTATTCCTTTTGGATAACTTTTCGGCACTACTTTTGCTGCTACGTAACACTCAAGATAGCTGGAACTCCCATCAATCTTCTTGACTATTACATAACTAATTGTCGTTGAACTTGCTTTTCCTGTTTACATGATTCGAGTTGGTGGACAGACACGAATCTATGGTGTAAATAAGCCTGCATTTGCAACTATAAGAGGATCCTCTCACCTGGGCAAGTTCTATTCCCCAAAGAAGTCCATCATATTGTTTGATACTTTTAAATAGGAAAACCACTGACGATTTAAGATCTTCAACTGGGTCATGGAATATTGTAACCTTTGACAATATGCTTTCAATTGTGATTTCTGATTCCTCCAAGTTTCATTCTACGGGTATAAAAAATGCCAGCATATACAATTGTCTCTAGAGAAAGAACAACACAAATAACCTCAATTGATTTAGCAACAACTTTGTTAAATAATTTCATAAGGTTTTTTCGATATCTCCACCATTTGATTTATTGATCTCAAAACAAGTTATGTTTTTGTTACAAGCCTTTTGTTTCAATATTCTTTGGTTGTGTTCTTTCCACACCCTCATTTCCTACAAGGCTACTGCAGTTGAATGAACTACTAATTAGTACTAATTGATCATGCTCTATTGTATTTTCTTCCTAACCTCTATAAGCTCAATAAGAACGCCAAAGAAGTCACAATTTCACAGGTGTATGACAAATATAAGATTGATAAATACATATGGAATAAATATCAAATTCCAGCAAGTAAAACAAAACACTTCAAAATGGAATTACAACAAAGTTCAAGATGAATATATAATGAATCCTGTCTTCTAGAATCCAGGGAGCAAAAATGGCAGTGACTCTTGCACCGTTGCACCCACTTACCTCATTCTGACTACTAACTACCACTACAATATGCACTCATAAGCCTTAAATGAGGAGATACTTTAAGAAGGAAATTAATCCTTATGCTTGACTCTCTCTCTAATTCAAATTTCCTCTCCCTTCTCTCTAAAAACTCTATTATCTTTTCTTCAGGGATGCCGCCGGCATCTCTAGGTGTCTGGTGGTGGCCCAAGCCTCCATTTTCGTTTTCGTTCATGCTTTATTTCAAGTTTCCTTGTGGGTTCTATCCCTCCTTTCCTTTCAAGCCCTTTGTGGCTTTTTTCCTGTTCCCTTTGTGGGTTCTTTCCTCAATCCTCTTCTATGGAGATGGATTTGTTTTGTTGTTGATTTAGTTGTTTTAGATCTGGGCTTGCTCTCTCGGGAATCTGGATTATGCAAATTGGGTGCCGCTACCAGATCTACAATGGTGGTCTTCCTCCAATTTGGTGGTTTCATCGCTTCTTGTGAATCCATCCACCGTCTTCCCCTCTGTCCTTCCTCGGCAGTTTGGATCTGTCTCGCAGGTGCTCGACGGATTGTGGGTGACAGTGTCTTTTCCAGTTGTCGCGGGGTTGCGCTGCTGTTCCTCGAAGTCTTGTGGTCTTCTGCTCTCCTTGGTCGCGGTCTTCTCTGCCTCACTTTCCTTTGCCTTTCAGCTTGGAGCAGCTCGATTCACAGCCCTTTCCACCGCCATGTAATCTTGGTTTCGAGATTCACTGTGATGGGTCGTCTTTGAGCGGCTCCCAGGAGGCGGCAGATGGCGTTGCTGAGTTCAATCGTCATGGTCTTTGTTGTGTTGGACGAGCTGATTCTGTGCTTTTTTTGTACTCTGATTGTTTTGGAAACAAGAGGACTTTCTGGGTGTGTTGTGTTCCTTTTTAGTGTTTGCTCCCCTGTTGGATTGTTTCACTTTGTGCTCTGCTCTTTGATGTTTACCTATCAAGCATGATTGGATTCAATCTGTTGCTTTGGGGTGGCTCCTATGTTTTGGATCCAACTATCTCTGTTTGTCCCTCTTGTAACCGATTTTTCAGAGTAAATGCAAGTATATCCGTTTGTAAAAAAAAAAAGAAGATTCATCAAATGGATTGTAAAAAAAAAAATATCATCAAATGGATGTTTTCATATTCATACATTTTTATCGTTTTAATTAACCGACTTTTCTTTGACTATTTTGTATAGTTTTCGTATTGATTGTTTTGTATTAAATTATAGGTGTGCAATATAAAGTAACTTAGCTCGAAAGACACCATCAAGTTTAATGTATGTTTTTTTGGGTCTTTGTCCACTCTTTTCCTTTCCCTCGACATTTTACTTGCTTGGAATGTTTGTGCATCCACTATTTCTGCAACTCGCATGTAACTAGACATGCCATTGCCTAAACATTTTTCGCATTGGATTCATAGGTGTTGATATATTTCCTCCCGCGTAGCCATAATAGTTAGTAAAATACGGTACGGGAAAGTTACGTAAAAAATACGTACGGATAATTTACGTTGTCGCTAAGCTAAAGTTACGTTTAATAGTACGTTAATAGCAATAAATATATAAAAAGTAATTGTTTTAAAAATAAATAAATATATAAATAATAGTAAAGTTTACAATTTAATTCATTAAATACGGATATTAAACGTGTTATACGGGTTTTATACGTGTTTAGTACGGGAACCATCCAATGAACGGAAAAAAATGAAACGGCTTGACAATCATACGGATACGGAAATTTTAAACGGATAAAGTACGTACGGGTACATATACGTATATTAAACGGAGTATTTACTAACTATGGCCATAGCTATTGATTCTAGTGACGTATAATTCTTAACACGTGCGGCGACGCCTTTCGAAACAATTGCCGAGTTTGCCGCCACGAATGGATTTCTGTTGCCGCAGGAGCGGGGCTAGAAGCAAATCGGTTTGATGTCTTTTCTTCTTCCGCCGCGGCATCGCTCCTTCTTTACATGGCTGCTGGATTGCACGCGGGAGAGAAGCCTCGCGAGGGGAAGAGCCGTTCACGCCCAGGTCGTCAAGAACGGCTCCTCAGATTCCTGCGTCTACCTCGCCAACAGTCTAGTCAATTTCTATTCCAAGTGCGGCCATCTAGCGAAAGCCCACCTCGTGTTCGACGAAATTCCTCACAGAGACGTGGTGTCGTGGAATTCCCTCATCAGTGCCTACTCTCAGATGGGTTCCTCTGGGGCTAGTTCCGTCATGGAGCTCTTTCATCGCATGAGGTGGGAGGACACTTGTTTCCCGGATACTCGTACTTTCGCAGGCCTTTTCACCGCTGCTTCGAACTCGTCGGAAGGGGTTTTCCTTGGAAAGCAAGCACAGGCGCTCGCTGTGCAAACGGCAATCATCGAAGACGTCTTCGTCGGGAGCTCACTGCTGAACATGTACTGTAAAGCGGGTCTTGTCTCAGAAGCACGTAAAGTGTTCGACGGAATGCCCGAGAGAAACGCTGTTTCTTGGGCTACCATGGTTTCTGGGTACGCAAGCGAACGTCTGGTCGAGCAGAGTTTGGAAATTTTCGAATCTATGCGGAGGGAAGCACCACAGTTGAATGAGTTTGTCTTTACTAGTCTAGTTAGCGCTTTCTCTGCTCCAGAATGGCTTGACAATGGCAAGACTCTGCATTCTATTGCGGCAAAGAATGGACTCTTGGCCTTTGTTTCAGTCTCGAATGCCATCGTCACAATGTACGCCAAATGTGGGAGCTTGGAGGGTTCATCGCAAATGTTTGAGTCCTTAAACGATAAGGATTCCATCACTTGGTCCGCAATGATCACTGGCTTTACCCAAAATGGGGGATTTCAGAATGCTCTGAACCTTTTCTCAAAGATGCATTCCGCTGATATTCCTCTAACGGAACATACCCTCGCTGGAGTTATCAATTCCTGCAGCGATTTGGCTGCTGTTGTTGATGGCAAGCAACTGCATAGCTACTCGTTGAAGCTAGGACTGGAAACCCAAATCTTCATACTCACAGCTCTGGTAGACATGTACGCCAAATGTGGCCTTCTGGAAGATGCAAGAAAAGGGTTCAATCTCCTGCCAAACCCCGACATCATCCTCTGGACTTCCATGATATCCGGCTACGTGCAAAACGGCAAGGACGAAGAGGCTTTCACCTTGTACTGCAAAATGCAGACATTAGGAGTCTTCCCTAACGAGCTAACCATGGCTAGTGTTCTAAAAGCTTGCTCGAGCCTCGCTGCTTTGGAACAGGGAAAGCAAATCCATGGCTGCATTGTTAAGTACGGGTTCAAGTTCGAACCCCCCATCGGAAGCTCTCTCTCCACTATGTACTCCAAATGTGGCTCTATTCGCGACGCAGGCATAGTGTTCAAGCGAATGACAGAAAGAGACGTGCTGTCGTGGAACGCAATGATGTCAGGACTCTCCCACAACGGCCAAGGAAACCAAGCTCTCGAACTCTTCCAAGAAATGCTACTCGAGGGGCTCACAAAGCCAGACGATGTCACGTTCGTCAACATTTTCTCGGCTTGCAGCCACATGGGTTTGGTAGAAGAAGCTTGGCAACACTTCAACACAATGGTCAACGAATTCGCCATGGTTCCTACCTTAGACCACTACGCATGCATGGTTGATGTCCTGAGCAGGGCAGGATTGTTGAGGGAAGCGACAGAGTTCATCGAATCAGTCCCCATAGATCACGGCCTGGGCCTATGGCGGATTCTACTGAGCGCGTGTCGAAACTACCGCAGCTACGAGCTGGGAGCGTATGCTGGCGAGAAGTTGATCGAGTTGGGATCAATGGAGTCGTCTACTTATGTGATATTGTCGAGCATCTATAATGCTCTGGGGAGGCGGCGAGATGTGGAGAGGGTGAGGGGTGTGATGAAGACTCGTGGCGCCACTAAGGATCCTGGGTGTAGCTGGATTGAGCTGAAGGGGGTTGTTCATGTGTTCGTGGTGAGGGATGGGATGCATCCATGGGTTGATGAAATCCGAGATGGAATTCGTCGATTGTTGAAGCATATGGAAGATGATGAAGGCTATCATCCTGCATTCGATTTCGTACTTGATCAAGTTGGTTAAGGATTCTTCAATCCTACTACCAGTTCTTCCCCACCTTGGCTCTGTTAGGTGAAAATGAAATTGCTAACCAAATCCAGTATTTGTATTTAACAAGTAGTCATTTGTGTCTATTAACATTTTCGATTGGGTTTAATCCTTACTGGAATCCTACTGCCACAAAAGCAAGATGGGCCTCTTGGAGTTTGCTTTCTGTTTGTTGTTTGGTGGCTGGATTGGTGAACTCCAGTTTGACAAGATCATTCTAGGGGCAAGAATTTAAGATAAGGCCTCAGTACCTACCATTGGTCCATGTCCGGGCGGTCTGCCTCTGAAAAGGCATCCCAGCCAACCAGCTCCACGAACTAAAACTGAGACTACGGCTGACAAGTCTGCTAACTATCATGACCATGCTTCGGTCAGTTTGCCTTCCATGCTGAGATCTTCCTCTTTTATGATTCACTTTACGTTGTCTTTGATTGTATTTTGCCTGTTTGGTAGGCAATTGCCTGCTAGGATTGCAATTGCACAAACCATCACCGAAGACAGTGTTTGGTTGATTTGTTCAGGTTAATTTTCTGTCTTATTTCCATTGTTATTTCTTTGGCTCTTCTATTTTTGTTACTTAGATTATCTCTAAGCTTGCATCGCCCGGCAAGTGCATTATACTATTTATATCGTCAAATTCAACTAACTTTTGATTTGGGGTTAATTTCATCGGCAACAGCTCAAGGTCAAGGAGACATGGAAAAAAGGGTTCTTTTGATGATGAATGATGGTGATGGAAATTGACTATATATGACAGGGAGTAGGCAAATAAAAAAATCTACAGATCTGACCTGAGCAAAAATGGAGCTCTGGGACTGAACGGTTTCCAGAATGTCTGAAAGTGCCCATGATTCAATCTGTTCCAGGTAAAGATTTCTAAATTTGGAGAGTAAACTGCGTTCAATTCAGTTTTAGATATCTTAATTTTGCTCATCATACCAGCAGCTCTCAATTTTGGAGAGTTCCTGCTTTCTTTACCAAGCTCAGAAGTTCAATTATGCTCTCTCTTCATTGGGTTATCAGTTAGTGTTCTTTTCATTTGGAAACCTTTCAGTTGAAGCTAGGGCTCTTTTCTTAACGATTGAACATTTTTGTTTGTAATGAAATGAAAATTACAATTGATTTTGATTTGATTACGAATACATGCTTTGCAATTAAGTCATTCGTTGGGATTCCCCAATAATTGCTTTTCTTGGTTGTTTAGTTGGTTTAAATATGAAAATTGAAAACAATATAAGAGGGCGCTTAATGCTTTTGTTGCCTAGTCATCTCGATGGTTACGTGCAGGAAGCAAGCAGCCAACTTTGTTATGTTTTGTCATTATTCTAAACTGCTCTACTGCTAAGACACCAGCTAGAAGCTTGCATTATCAATGAATTGTTCATTTCACCTATATCTTTTGCTTTTGTGAAGCTGGCTTTTGAAATGCGCAGCGACTGCAAAACTTGGCAGTATTAAAACAATTTGTAAAATCTCACTTGGTTTAGTGTTCGTTGGGCCTAAAAAATGCAAAGAATAGATAGATCTTTGGTTGTATGCTTTTCTCTTGCTGCAATTTGTGTTGAGTTGCAGACTTTGTTTTTCCTTTTGTAATCTCCTTTTAAAATTAATAAAGTGGTTCACCATTATAAAAAAAATGATCGAGAAGGATGGGTACACACTTACATAAACAAAGGATGAATCCACACCAAGCTGGAATGAACAATCTTTAAGGATTAAGAGTTTGTTTCTTGTGCGATGAGTTTGTTGTGAGCTGTTTGAAACTCTGTAGAAGACTATCATTGCAGTTTACTTTGTGATGATGCATGAAGTTAGGGGATTTATGCAGGCTTTAATTAGTGTAATTTGAGAAGCAAGTGTTTTCATGCCAGTTACTTTTTATGGGATGCTACCAGTTCATTTTTTTCTACAAACATATTTTAGCATGTTTTAGGAACCTTTGGCAGGCAAACTTCCTCGGTGATTTTTATATAGAATTTTATGCTGGTCTTTGTTTAGGTTCTAGAATCCTATGATTATACAATCTTGCCTTCAATGAGTGTCTCTTGCAATGTCATTTTTTACTACTTGGTTCTTTTAGTTCATTTGTAGCATTATTTGAGCTGTGCTCTTTGTCTTTTTTGTTTATTTCATGCCTTTCTTCAGTGGTATAGTTTCGTTGTCACTTTTTTCATTCCTCTGTTTGTAGTGTCCTTTCCATCAACCTGTTGTTGGCTTCTGATGGCATTGCGCAGCTGTTTCTATTCGATTTGGTATCCTCTATTACAGATTCAATCGAGTTCATGATAATGGACTCACTTACTAGCTGTACATGCAGGAGAAAGATGTAGTAGCATTCCAAGGTAACGGTAATGGGAAGAGGTTGCTTCAGAAGGATTTCTCATTCATCTCAGAATGCATCCATATGTTGGTGCTGCTGAAACTGTTCCTTTTGTTTCCTTATAATTAGTCTGGATTAGTTACATGGGTTTATTTCTGTTCCAAATATGACATTTTCATGACTGCAAGAATGTCCATAGGAATGATGGTGGACTTTATTGGAGGCGCTTGCCAATAAGAGGAACAAATCCAAAGAAACAACCAAGGTTTGTTCTACTCTTCTTGCTTTTGCACGAGTAGGGAGACCCATTGCTTTAAAATAACCACCATTGGCAATGCACCATTGATTAGTTTTTGAATCCTACTTACGGTCAACTTTAGTTTTCTTTTAACCTTCCTGTCATTTCCTCCAAATACTATGGCTGCTTTTCTACTACTAAGCATTGATTTCCTGACAATATCATTCTAACTTCATTATCTTTGTTGTCTTCTTGGAGTGTACCACGTCATATAACATATATGTACTCTTTAAACACTCGCTTTACTTTTTTTGTTGTTTGACCATATTGATCTTCCCATCAGTTCACTGTTTTTCTTTGTTCTGTGATGCGGTTTTTAATTGGTATCAACTTTTATATTAGTGCCTTTGCTATTCTTCTTCGTCATTTGGTTTTGATTTGAGATGGAGGCTTGCTTATTTATGGTACAGAGGAGCATCCAAGAGTATATGAGATGTCTGCGGTAGGTCGAGTTTGCTTGAACCTAATTTGTCATCGGGTGTTTGTTTCTCTTCCTCTGAAACCGTTTTGTTTTATTTTTGTACCGATGCTTTCAGGCTCATCTGCTCATCCTCATCCTTCCACAGCCTACGTAATATCTTAGCCTTCTTTTCCCACCTTTTGATTCCAACAATAAAATTGGTTTTGTTACTCGGCAATTTTTTCCTAGGTTCTGGTGAATCATTGTTCCACCTATAATGACCCCTTGAAGGTGGATGAAGAGCAAGGCAACAATGGGGAGTCGAATGGGAAGCTCAAAAATACACAAATCATGCATCATTTAGCCTTCTGAAAAGTTGGTGATTTTTCAACAATTTCATTTCTATTTTTTCGTACCTTAAATGGTGCTTTTGGAACGAAACAAATTTATGACATGATTGCAATGTTTGGCAGCTGACTTTTATGCACAATCAAGTAACTGTTGAACTATGATCGGATATTGGTTGAGGTAGGAAGGTTAGATTTTTTAGATCCCTTGCAGCAGATTATTTTTCCGGTTATGATTGCTTCAGATTTTCACTTATTTACTGATTCCTTAATGATATACTGGAAATCACTTGCTAATCCACTGAGTCATGCCTCTATTTCTCTATGTTAATTGGTTGTATACATTTCTCTGTTTATGTTTAAGGAACTGGTGATGTGAAAACAGAGATACTACAGAAGTTTCCAATGAAGAAGGAACTGCTGATGTGAAAAATGGAGATACCACAGAAGTTGGCAAAGAAGAAGGAACTGCTGATGTGAGCAAGGGCGAGTAAGTTTAGACGGATGTTATAGTAGTGTCTTACTCTTTATGTCTTCCAAAGATCACTAATTTATTGAAAGCTTTCACTTGTTTCTTGAGTTGGTTCATTTCTACAAGGATTTCGATGATAATGCCTGGGTAGGTTTTGGTTAAATATGGAGGGTAATTCTACCAAAAAAAAAAAAAATATGGAGGGTAAGCATTGCTTGCCTGTTGCTTTGGCAACTTGGTCAATTTGTTGTGTTTATGCTCGTCTCTGGAGCTCTAGCTAGGGCTGTGTTTGTTTGTTTGTTTTTTTTTTTTTTTACAAAAGATAATCTTCATTGATCGAAACTAAAGAGAGTTACATCCTGGAAAGCAGCCAGGCCTGAAAATCAAAGAAACGACTCGTAGTCGGGTACAAAGAAATGGCCTTCCGAGCCACCAAGTGGGCTACCCTATTGCTACGCCGACCTACAAATCTAACACTAAACCCTGAGCGGATCGTCAAGTGATGAATAATTTACGCAAGGATAGCACCAATCCGACTATCACTAGCATCCGCCTGGTTGATCTTGTCTATAATGACCTTAGCGTCCCCCTCAAAACACACCTCCATAAAACCCTGATCCAAGCACCACATGATAGCTTCCCTGAGCACCAACACCTCCACTACCATGGGATCATCAATGCCCGAGAACTGAACCCCACAAGCCAAAAGGACCCCCCCTAGCCGGGGTCATTATAACAATCACCCCCGCGTGGCCCCATCCCACATACAGACCAGTCTATCCGCCTCCACTGGGACTGACTGAGTAGGGGAAGGGTCAGCAGGGCGAGAGTTCCTATCCACAGGCAGACCAACCCATTCCTCATACTGCTGGTTGTACTGACGCATCAGAGCCGGGATCCCAAACTGTTTGCCTTCAAAGACAACCCAGTTTCGAGAACGCCATATTCTCCAAAGGACAGCCACAACCGCCATGAGAATGGATGGTTGAGTAATCAGAGCCATCAACCGCTTAAGAAACAGGGGAAAGGTATGCTGAGGCAGCCCTTCCCCCAGGGAAGCCAGCCTCGAATAGTCCCAGAGTGCCCGAGCCACCGGGCAAATGAGGAATAAATGCTCCAAAGTTTCTGACTCAGCCCAA